AATCATGTGATTCAGGTGTGTTGACCCAGGGTGAGATCTAAACCCTGCAGGACACCGGCCCTCGAGGCCTGGAGTTGGACACCCCTGCCTTATGGGGACAAAATGCCTGTCCCTTCGAGTTTGAGGGCATTTTTGAGACTCTTAATGTGGTTTTGGTGTCAGGGTTACTGTTAGGCTTAGGCGAGGTTTGGATTAGGCATTGCTTTTTGATGATTAGGGTTAGGGAAAGCATTGTCAATTAGACGTCCCCACTAAGATATGAAAACACGACTGTGTGTGTTTTTGTGAGAGTGAGTGAAATGGAGTCCAAATGGTTGAGCTGTGTGTAAGAAAATGTTTCCCTGCTCTTTGAGGACGGAGTGATGCTGTGTAAGGCCACAGCAGGGATGAGAGTTCCTGTGGCGGTGTCACCGTGCGTAGGCTCCACCTGTCCCTTCATCATCTTTGAGTCGGCAGACATTAACAGTGCCGTGGATGAGGTGATGGAGGCCGCCTTCAGGAAGAAGAAAGAGGTACGCTTATAGAGCGACGAGGTAACTCCTATTCCAGCGACGCATCCCTGAGCCTGTTTGACGGGACTCCCCTCTGCCTGCAGGTCTTCTGGGTGTTGTGTGTGCAGGAGAGTGTGGTGGACAGTGTTGTTGCCCATCTCCGGTTGCGAATGGCCAAGATGAAATGTGTGACCCTGCCCAGTGAGGCAAACAGGGAACGGGTGGATGCTGCTGTGCAGGAGGCTCAGCAGCTGGGAGCCACGGTTAGTAAGAAGACTTTGAGACATCAGGGTTTAAAAATGCCAGGAAAAGTTTCAACGAACTTGAAGGTTCCCTTAGACTCGTCTGCTGATGGTGTGCACCACTTTGTCTTCATTTCCTCTGAGTTTACTGCCCATAACTAGCAGTTTTAAATGATCTCTCCTCAGTTGGTTCAGTCCTGTGCTGATCCCACGTCAGGTGCCCAGTATCCTTCCACTGTGCTCTGTGGGGTGGCCCCCTCCTCACCATGTGTGCTCGACCCCTGTCCCGGACCACTGCTGCCCCTCATGACCTTCAGAAGCAACACAGAAGCCGTGACTCTTGGTAAGAAGCTTCATGTGAAAACGACTCCTATAAGACACCAACGTGAATAAGGTTTGAGGGTTTTTAAAGGGTTGCATTTGCATCGTTATCAGAGACCTGGGCCTGTGTTGAACAAGGCGCCGGAGTAACATTTTCTGCCCTGTGCAGGGAACCACAGTCCTCACGGTCAGGCAGCATCCATCTGGACCGAAGACCTCACCCTCGCTCTGGAGACAGCTCAGAGGTGCATCTGCATTCTCTGCTCTCTGTCCTTCTGTTCTGCTGTCTGTTTCCTCTTTCTCCTTCTCTTCGTTACTTTGTTGACTTTTCTTTTTACTTTCATATACAGTCGTTTCGTCACAACCACCTGTGCTCGGTGTAAAGCGAATACATTGACTTTCATGGTCGGCTTCACATCTCGTGACTGTCCATTTAGTACTAACATTCATATTTATTTCCATTAAAATGAATATTTCTTCTTCGTGTCCTCCCAGGTTGTCAGTTGGCTCTGTGTGGGTGAATTCCCACTCCATCTGTGACCCCTGTCTGCCCGTCTCCGGTCACAAAGACAGCGGGACCTGCACCGATGGAGGACAGGAGGTTTGTTGTTTTGACAGGCCGACAGAGCCTGGATCAGTAACACTGCTTGCACATGCTGCTGTAGTTCAATGTTTGAATTCAGCGTCCCCTGGGTGTCGTCTCGCTGTCCTTAGTTTAGTGTTTTCTGTTAGGCTCATATAGCCCCGCAGCACTAATAACCTCGGTCTTTAGATATGAGGTTCTTATTGGTCTCCAGCTCCGTAGACACCAGCTCCTGCAGTGCAAAACATCCCTACTAAACACGCCCACATAAATCACTCGATAGTTATATCCCCTCTTTATCCTGTCAGGGTCTGTACCAGTTTCTACGCCCCTCCTCTTCCTCCCCCCCTCTTCCTCGCTCCTCTCCCGTCTCCATGGACTACACGCAGTTTGGAACAGAAACGTCCCCACCTATCATTCCTGCTGAGTCGGACCCTGCCAGGTATGTTTGTGAAGCATTAGAGCTGGTAAATGTTGCAGGACAAATGTGTTGCACAGCACTAATCGCATCATGACAGACATTTTCTTTCTTTTTTCTAGAGCCCCTCAGTCCCACCTGCAGTTTGTTGCTGGTAAAGCATGTAAGTCAGTGTCTGGCTGCAGTGTGGCTGTGCAGCCACCAGGTGGTGGTCTGTTGGCCTACTGCCCAGACGGGGGCCGGAAGGACGTTCGCAATGCTGTGGAGGCTGCTGTCAAAGTCCAGCCAGGGTGAGAGCGCAAACTACGTGTACGTGTTCACAAACACGTACAGGTCATTCAAAAAAACCACAAACACAGCTGAGGTTTGTGTACTCGCACAACAGATGCTGTTGAGAGTTTATGAAACTGCACAGATATTCCAATATGTAGTCACTATATTAGTGGAAAAGCCATCAAGTAATGACGTAGGTACAAATCATCCCTGCAGGATTTCTGGATGGTTTCACAGGTTCTTTCAGGTCTTTTCTTAAAGTGGAGACGGGGTCCAGCTCCCAGACCCACACCAGCACCTGCTTCCACAGAAGGGCTGAAAGCTGATTGTGCATTGAGACACTGCCGGTCTGAGAGCAGAGTGCTTTGTTGCTATACTACAGTAATATGAGGATTTTAAGATGTGATTATTTAAGACCTTGAAGGATTTAAAATGAAGTTCTGCATCTACGACAGAGCCGCTAAAGAAATGTTAATATTTTTAACTTGGAGTCAGACGAGGCTGTTCGACGAGTAGAGTCACAAAGCAGAAATCTGGAGAGTGAACTGAGCAGCGTAGATCCACTTTAATGTTGTTTGTTACATTTTACTCCATATACACAACATGGAGATGAGTCCTCTGAGCCTTCCATGTAGAACATTGTGTTCTTAATCTGCTCTTATCAGCTGGCTACTGTAGGGCCGGGCTGTGTGCGTTTGCCATCAGTACAACTTGACTGTGGGAACAGATAAGAAGACAAAGTGCAGAGTCATGAACTCGACACACACTGCTTACAGAGTTCACTGAAATCTGACAGACACAAGCTGTGAAGCAGGACGTGTGGCCATTACTCATCGGCAGTCTTTAACAGTTGATAGATTTTATCCACGTGATGAAGCTTAACCTGACGGACACATAAATCCCAACAATATTTTTTATATTATTATTGTTGTATTTCTTTGAATGCCTTTGTCTCTTACAGCTGGATGAAAAAGAGCCCGTCTGCACGTGCCCAGTCACTCTACTCTCTGGCCAAGGGCCTTGAGGCGAAGAGGCGGGACATAGCTGCAGCAATCAACACACAGACCGGCCTGTCAATGGACGAGGCTGAGAAGGAGGTGGAGCTCAGCATTACCAGGCTCAGCGTTTGGGCCGCTTACTGTGACAAAGTCCAGGGAGGAGCGCTGGTGAGACCTTTCATGTTACTCAAAGCTGCTAAAGATGCTGAAACATGATAGAAAAGTATCAGCTGAGGCCGTCTGATCGCTCATTGTTTCCCTCTCCTTCAGCCCATGCCAAACTCGGGCTCCGCTCTCTCCATCCCTGAAGCCCTGGGAGTCATGGGGGTTGTCCTACCTGACTACAATCCCCTCCTCTCCATGGTAACCGTGCTTGGGGCAACTATTGCCACAGGCAATGCTGTTATTATGGTCCCCAGTCAAAAGTATCCACTGCCTGTCTTGGCATTCATTAAGGTAAGTGTATAAATGTGCTGCGTGGCAAGTGGCAGGGAACCTTTAGAAAGAAGTTGCATGTTTCAGTCGGAACACAAAGTCAAACACGGTGGAACAAAAGTAACACGGACTGAAGCAATACGTCTTTGTTATTCAGAGGCAGCTGACCTGAATATCGTCTTAACTTAGGGGTCAAACTAGTGATTGTACAAGTGAATAGAAAAGTCTGCACAAAAAGAAAAGTCTGCCCAGGTTTGTATGAAATGTCAGTACACTGTGTGGGTCAGAAGCAGAGCTGCTGTCATTCTAGAGGAAAGGCTCGCCACCCTGCAGCCATTTTAAACATGCGCGGGCACCTGTGTGAGCATGTCGATTTACTTTAAATTCAGTCGTCAGCATGACATAATCATGCACGCGCAGAAACGCCAGTCAGACGTGATAAGGGCGACCGTGGCTCAGGGGGTGGGGAATCGCATCTGTAACCGGAAGGTCGCTGGTTCGATCCCTGGGCTCTCTGTCCTGGTCGTTGTGTCCCTGGGCAAGACACTTTACCCTACTTGCCTACTGGTGTTGGCCAGAGGGGCCGATGGCGCGATATGGCAGCCTGGCTTCTGTCAGTCTGCCCCAGGGCAGCTGTGGCTACAACTGTAGCTGCTTCCACCAGTGTGTGAATGTGAGAGTGAATGAATAGTGGCATTGTAAAGCACTTTGGGTGCCTTGAAAAGCGCTATATAAATCCAATCCATTATTATTATTATTATAAGAAGCGCCGTTAAGCAAAAATAGTAATAAAGGCTTTTGTCCATTTTGTGTCCACCGCCACGTTTGCTGGCGTTTCTCCTATACTGCAGCAGATTGCTCACATTGCTCAGGACGCTGCACTCTGTTTACACTCGAGGAGGTGCACGTCCTGGGCAGGGAGTCAAAGAGACCAATTACACGAAGAGTCTCTCAGTATGTCATTCTGCGCTGTGATTACAGCCGTTCACCAGCTCTGTGAACAGTCCTCGTAGCCATTGATCACCGGTCACGACAACGAGCATACTAACAACCATGAAGCTGAGCTTGTGGCTCAGCTAACATGTGACTCTAAAGTGGCTGTTGGTGTGATGGTAAATAGTGATCTGTCTAAGTGTTAGCCTCTTAATAATAATTTGAGGACAGGCTGTGCAGGCATAAGGCATCTGAGCCGAGGATGAAGGAGTCTTCATGCGTTGAACACATGAAATGAATTGCACTGAAATAAATCATCACCGGATGAGTGTTACATGTCTGCACCTAGCTGTTTGAGGTAATCCCTAAATCTGCACAGCTCTGTGCGGCTGAACTTGTCAGGTCACGTCTAACATGCGTGCACGTGTTTTGCTTTACGTGTTGCAAAGAAGCTCTGAAGATGTTTTTAATCAGGTCAAACCTTGGAAAGAACAGCTGTTTACTCAAATGGAAATAATGTGAAAAGGTTTTAGAAAAGTCTGCTTATAGTGTCATGATTGTTTTAGTTATGTGCAGTTCCCGATCCTTTCAGTGTTGCATCTATTCTGGGTTCCCCCAGATGTTTGGTTGGCCTGCTATTGTAAGACATGGTGCCTAAATGTTTTTGTACAGCCTAAGCAAAAAAAAAGAAAGAAAAAGACGTAGGTGAGTGGACTGTTGGTTAGATAATGCTTCCTAATGGGGAGTTTGAAAGTCTCAAATTGTACCTTAATGTTGCGGGCCTGTTTCTAGCCAGTTTTTCTAAGTTGGTCAGCATTAAAAGTGCTTGGTCAGCCCAGCTTAAGCTGCAGTCGATCACGAGGCTGTCAGTGTGAACTTGTGTGCACATCTGTTTTCATTTAAGATGAAAACTTGACTGCAGACTTGAAGCAAGTCTTCGGTTTCCTCAGCTTGACCTGCATTCAAAAGCACCGTGAATCATAAAAACCAGTTGTTATCTTTATTGCACCTTTTCCTTCTCCTCTTTCTCAGGTGCTCCAGTCCTCGGACTTGCCAGCAGGTCTGGTAAACGTTATTACAGGAAGTCGAGACCAGCTGACTGTGGCTCTGGCTAATCACAGTGTCATCAAGGCCATCTGGTACTGGGGCAGTGCTGAGGTGAGGCTAACTCATTTTGCATTAAACTGAGCTCCTGAGTGTAGCATTGACTTCCTTCTCCCAAATTAGGCCTGCCTCATATAATCGCCTACACTCACTTCACTGTTTCTGATTTCCTGCTGCAGGGCTGCCAGTACCTCCAGTACACCTGCACTAGTCCACTAAAAACCCTGCGCCTGTGTGAGGACCAGGAAGGGAAAGACGGGGAGCTAGACTGGACTCGGTGCCGTCCGTCATTCCTGGAAGAAATGTGGAGAAGCACTGTGCAGTGGAAGAGTGTGTGGATTCCTACAGCTTAAAACAGAACGGCAGGAAGAAGGAACAGAGTTACAGTTTGGATCATGGAGCGTTTGACTGTGACCTGAAAAAGCAGAAATCATCAGGGGAGGAGGGATTTTAAAAGCAAAAACATTCGATGTTAAATTACATTTTGAGATTATGTTAGGAATGGCTGACACAAAGCACTTAATAGACAGACGAGGGATTCAATGCAGCTCACACGTTAACAGTGTTGCTGACTTATGAGCTGATTTTTGTTGCCAACACGGTTTAAAAATGATCCTAAAATGGAAAATGTGGCGATTCACTGTGATTAAGACGAAAGGTTTTTCCCTTTTACGTCCCTGTGACGGTCAATGCAGAGACCCTAAAAACATTTCACTGTTTTCATTTAAATGTATGTCGGTTTACTGAAGATTATCGAGCAGAGCTGTAGCTGCCCGTCAGAAGAATCGATTCATTGTTGAGTTTGTCATTTTGGTTTTTAAATAAATATAAAAAACAATGCTAGCCAAAGTAACATCCGTTAGAACTACTGCAACGTTTTGCTTGATTAGTCAAAACAATAAACCTGCAGGTTTATTAACAATAGCTGCTCTTTAGTAATTCCTCTATTTTAGTCATAACAGGCCATCATGATAATAACCCTGCGGATTTTCTACCTCTGTTATGCGTATTTTAATTAACCCTCACATGTCTGATCAGGTATCACAAGTTATTTCAAAGTAGGTCATGTTCACATTTCTTTCCACGTTAACGAATAATCCACGTGAACCGTGACAAACCTCAGGAGAACTTTGGCTCCGATTATTGCGCCTGTGTTGCAGGGTCAGTGCATATTAAATAGATAAAGTTGTGTTATGGGCTTGAGCATGCTCTGTGGGGGCCATTCCACTTCCTGCTCAGAAGTTAAGACAGACAGAAATGAGGTGCAATTCAGAAAAGGTCACAGCAGGGGGCGCTCACAAGGTAGTTCTCAGTGATCAGGAGTGAATACAGATAAACGTGAACAATACATATATTTTTTATTTTGTTTTTGACAATACAGCAACACTTATGTACTAAAGTTTTTCTGAGAGAAAAGCCAAAAAAATGCTTCCAATCTGGTGACGTATGCTGAGAGGTCCTCGAAAAAACCCTTTGTGGCTCCTGTTTCTAAACAGCAACTAAAACACACATTAGATGTGCGGTTTAACTACAACAGAACCTTACACGTATAGGAAGCAGCAGGTATCAGAGGCTTCAACACAGCTAGCCGCTGTTTGTGTTCGCTGGCTTGACAAAACCTAAAAGCCCAGTTGGAGATAACAGGAACCTCGACGCTGGTTCTCAGCTTTCTCCTGTCGTAGCTGCAAATCCAGCTACGTGCATAAGATTAGGCAGCAGATTTGAATGAAGTATAAAAACATTTGTTCATTTTTTTGCAGTTTGCACTTCTGTAACTTTACAGCTGGTCTTCATTCAGTCAGTTTAATAAAGTCTGGCTTAACAATCATGCAGGTACTTAAAACACGCTGTAAAGAACGGATCCAGAGAAAATGTTTTACTTCAGGATCTTTCTAAACCAAAGCTGTGTTCAGCATAAGTTACCATGGTGATTTAGTAGAAAGAGAGCAACTTTTGTGACACAGGAAACTCTTTAAGCTCAACATGGCTGACTGAGGATTTAATCGAGCTTCGCAGTGCACCACTCGGGCGGCTCCTGCACACTTCATGCCTGTAAATGTTCTGTGGAGCTATGATGTATTTCTTTACTTAGTGGTTTACTACAAATCAAATGTGCAGAGCCCTTCGACTTAAAATCTAATGATATTTTCCAAAGAAAAGTGTCCGCCCAAAATGTAAAATTTTGGACTGCATCTCTGTCGTCCACTGTTCATTCAGAACGGTCTTGTGAGTGCCCCGTATAAAAACCCTGAACTCCAGAGAGTGTTTGTTGCTTTATTCTCAAGCTGCCAGAAGCAGCTACAGTTTGTGTGATTTGCCCCGGTGTCAGAATAACAAGCATTTAGCTCAAGTTTGCACTCCTGGAGCTTCTAAAGAATTATGGTCTGCATCTTGGTGCTAATTATGCTGTTCGCATCTGAGCAATCAAATCACACCAAAGGGAGTCCAGTTTAACTGCACTGAAAAGAGTTCTCCGTTGAAATATCTCAGCTGGGGGGAACTATGCATACTCTGCAACTAGAAGCCGCGTCAGCCTTACAGATCTGTCAGTGACTCAGCAAAACAAACAAAAAGCAGCAGCACATGGATCCAACTTCCTGTGTCATGTGTCTTTTGCTGTACATTAATACTGTAATTTGTAGCCATGAAAGGTCAAATCTGACTCTGTCGTGCAAAAACATTCCAAGTGACATTTCATTTGTTTCCAAATTCACATTGTGAAATAAAACCAATAAAACAAACAAATGTCAAGTGTGTCTGTTTAAAAACGAATATTTAAAGAAAAAGATTCTGGAAATGTATATTTATTGTTTTATTTCTTTTCCCATTACTCACAAATACATTAGCTTTTCTAGCTTCTAATGTTTAAGTTATGTTTCTACAGCTGTCTGTGCTGTTGCAGAATTCTTCTGTAGATTCTTTGAAAGCTGTTTTTCTCTGCTACACGTATCGCATCAACACTTCTTAAATGAATAAATCCGGACTACTGATTTGATCAGCGTCTCAAATTCTTTTATGCATGGAATAGGTTAAAGAAATATAAATGTGCTTCCTGCATTATCTATTTTTTATAAGAAAACAGCAGCGCCGCCACTGCACATTGTAAACCTACTGGCTCATATGTTTGATTGTGGCACTGTGACTGTGATCCTGGTTCTGCTGGAGGTCTCTTCCTGTTAAAAGGGAGTTCTTTCTTTCCACTGTATCCAAGTGCTTCTGATTGTTAGAGTTTTCTCTCTTATTGTAGCGTTTTTCCTTTGTAAAAGTGCCTCGAGGCAACCGTTGTGAGTTGGTGATATACACTCGGCCCCCTTTTGTCTCCAGAACATCTCTACTTCTTCAGATTGAACAAGGTGCAGGAAACAAGCCTCCGACACTTTGGCCCATGTGACACGATGGGTTTGTCAGCTGCACGTCCATGATGCTAGTCTCCCATTCCTCCACATCCTAAAGGTGCTCGACTGGATTGATATTGAGTGCAGTGAACTCACTGTCATGCTCAGGAAACCAGTTTGCGATGACCTGAGCTTTGTGAAATAGTTTATCCTGCTGGATGCATGCATCAAAAACTTTAGCTTCAGTTTCCTGTTATTAGCTGACAGGAGTGACACCTGGTGTGGTCTGCTGCTGCTGTAGCTCAAGGGTTGACATGCTGGGTGTTCGGAGATATTATTCTGCAAGTGATTATTTGAATTACTGTTGCTTTACTGTCAGCTTCAAGCAGTTTGACTTTTCTCATCTGACCTCTGACACCAACATGGCATTTTAACCCAGAGAACTGCAGCTCACTGTATATCTTCTTTTCTTTTTATAAACCTTGGTTGGAAACATCCCAGCAGGTCAGCAGCTTCAGGAATACTCAGACCAGCCAGTCTGACACCAACAGCCCTGCCACATTCAGAGTAAATCACATTTTCTGATCCTCAGTTTGAACATCAGCGAACCATCTTCACCACGTCTACATGCCTACATGAGTTGAACAAATGTACCTAACAAACATGAGAAAGTATGAATACAGTTCTTTTCGTTAATTACTACTAGTTCACACAGATAACTGGTCAAAAACAGTTTCGGTAACTCAAGTACACTTTTGGTTCCTTCGTTCACACTTTCTGTTCCTTGTTCGTTTTTCCAAACCGGTCCCATCCAGCAGAGCACTGAGGTAAACGTACAATGAGATGCGATCACGAGGTGTCCTCCCTCTCACGGCCCTGTGACAACAAAAGCAGAACAGAGAAAAAGGAAGACGGGTGCTGGCGGCTGCAGAATGCTGACTCACAGCGATGACATCGCACAACACTCAGCTGAACCTGATGGTACGACCCGGACTCATCGTCTTACACGAGAGTGCACAAAATAAAGATGGCAAAGCTGCTGTCTGAACTGCTCTGTCATCTTTGTTAAGCATGAGAGTGGAAAACAAAGCAAGTGTAGCCACTTGATGACGAGTGCTTATGTGTTGTTGCAGGTGTTGGTGAAGTACAGTCAACACAGGACAGCTTACAGTGCTTTTTAGTACGATGATAAGTGAGCAGTGACTGTGGATCTGTCTTTAGCTCATCCTTCCTTCCTTTGAGCTCTGTGGTTCCTCCATTTTCACAGAACACTAACTTATGTGATTGTTGTCTCTATACTGTGAAAGCCTTTTATTAACAATCATTTTTACTGCAGGATGAAATTTAGTTATAAGACTAGAGTGAAATAAAAGCCATGTGAACACAAAGCTATCTATTGGGCTGGCATTAAATACAACATGTATTGGATTTTTTTTATTTTATGGAACTTTTTATGTCTACTTCCTTATTTCTTAATATGACACAGGAACTGGTGTCTTTACTCAGGTCATTATTTATTTAACAGTTTAATAACTTTTCAGATTGCAGTTTTCTTACCCTTGCTCCGTACCAAAAACTACAAATTTCTCCACTGATTCTGAATACTCTGACAAAATTAACACATTTATGTTTTTCCGAATCCATTTTCCTTTATCTTGAAATATATGTAGAGGTGTTTTAAGATTTTTTTTCTGAGGTCATGGAAAATGTCTCTTATTAGTACATGGTCCTGATTGGACAGCGCTGCTCGTCTACAGGTATAAATGCATCATATGTAACACCTGTAGCTCTGACGCTCTGGAAAAACAAGTGTTGCTTCTCTGACTGAGGAATGTGTTATGTAATGATGTCTCTAGCTCTTGCAACTATGCTAAAAATGTAATGTGGCTTTATTTTGAACATGTTAAAATTACACAACAGCAACTACAAAAAAAGCACAAACAAACAAAAGGAAACATAAGGAAAAAATAACAACAACATTTTCAAAACGAAGTAAGAAGAAGGAAACGCTTATTTAATCCCACGCATGTTTCCACAAGTCATAACTAATAACCATCAGTGTGATTAATGGCCTGTCCTACAATAAATCCGTCCTTAGAATTTGTTACATGCATTTGCTTTTATAATTCCAACATCGTGGCAGGAGAGTTATTTACAGATGTGCAAACACATATATACTGTGTAGATAGCGAGTAACAAAACTATCTCCTTCTTGTACCTTGAAAAAAACCATAATTTTGTACCACTATTTAAAACGTGTCAAACTAATAAGATGTAACCTTTGCAATATCATTGATGTGTTTGAGAGAGGTATTGTTTACTGTCGTACATTACGTGTCAGCTAAAATCACACACTACAGCAAATCATAAGGAGAACTAAACCTGTTCTGAGACATATTTTAGAGACAAGCGGTGTCGGCCTACGTGACTGCCACTGTGTGTGAAATGACACGTTCAGCCAAAAGGCTTACATATGTTCTCCTTAGTGTGCAGGAAGGTATCAATTACTCTAAGACAAGCAGACATGGTGGAAGTTATTCACTAGGAAAGAAAGAGTAGATCAGTAGGCTTTCTCTGTCATTTCAACTGCTTAAAAGCAAGTCTAGTGATGTTCTTTCATTCATTTTATTATTAGAAAATGAAGCTGAAAGGGTGCAGCAAAGAAAATGCAGGCTCCGTCCTCGTGCTGGGAACACGTGATTACCAGCACACCTGTTCAGACTGGCAGGTCTCTCGGGCACAGTGGAAAAGTACTGCTCACACCGCTGTAGGTGTTGTCTTGTAGTGCTTGACTTGATGTAAAGACAAAGTCAAGTTAAAGATAAACGTACAGAAGAGATATTTATGATTACATGAAGATGAATATTAAAGCTTACTGTATGTGTTTTGGGCTTTCTATTAAAAACATATCATGAGTGGATTTACTTCTACATGCACTTTACATAGAAAAGATTGAGTATGTGACGTTGTGTTACACTTATACCTCAGCTGCAGTGAGACTATTCAAGGACAAGTTTCATCTAACACGATACTCTTACATGAACAGACTAATACAAAAATGTGTATACATGTCTTAGTTTTCGTTTTGTGTTACCCAGCAGTAGTAATGTTTCCGCCTGGGAGGTTCTACTATTGCTGGTAATGTCTGCCAACAGTGCTGTGGTGTTGAGCAATGCAATGCAATAAGAAACTCTTTGGTTGTAAACACCATTATCAGCAGTTTTTGGATGTCATGTGTTAGATTTATGGCGTAACTCTGCCTCAGTTTATGCTGCTTTTATGTAACCATTAACTACAAT